TGACGTAATTAACGAGAAATTTAACCATCTTTGAGTGAAATGAATTAAATGATAAATTACATTTGAAAAATGTTCACCCTCCAGTAAATAAATTCTCGTTGCCGACAAGGATGGTTGACAAGTTTGAAGAAATCATGCGATATTTTTTATGTGAATTATATTCTTTCTTTATTATCGTGATTATTATGACATTCGGATTCCATCTTATGCTGCGAGCACAAGAAATTGGTTCGTTCAAGCTATTTATTATCAGCTAAATGATTTTAAAAATTTGTGCGATTAAAATAATTAAACAAATCACACAAAACCAATATTGACAATAATAAATTTATTTTTTTATAAAAAAAAATTAAAATAAAATTTAGTACCCATCACGATCTGATCTCATACGTAAATAAGGTTTCCTTAAAAGATTCTTTTCGAAAAAAAAAAACTTAAACAAATGTTTAATAACAATGAAATATATTCGTTTTTGTGGATAAAATAATTTGGAAATATCAATATATACAATCGAATATAAATACAGAAACAAAGCTATTTAAGAAACAAAAGCTATGAAAACTGGAAGTATTAATTTTGGTAATGATTTACACGAATTTTTGCTGCGTAAGGTAAGTAATTTACTTCTTTTAACCAAATCTACGCGAGTGGTAATTATGTATAAAAAGAACACACACACACACACACACACACACTGTTGGTGAACAATATCAGTCATTCTCTCTCCATATTTCTTTCTTCATGATTTTTTTCCTTTTTTTAAAAAAAATAATAATGTTTCGCACTCCGTTTCCAAAATAAAACCTTTGGTGGATGATAACTCTACGTCAAAAGTATTTCGACCAGATTTGAATATTAGTTTGATATGTCCAGAATGTAGAAATTCTCAAGCAAATTTAATTGAAGAATACTCGAGTGGAGATATAGTTTGCGGAGATTGCGGTTTAGTCCTTGCAGATCGCATTATCGATACAAGATCTGAATGGCGTACGTATAACGGTGGTGATAATGATCCGCCTCGAGTTGGTGCAGCAGCAGACCCATTATTGAAGGATTCAGCTTTGAATAAAATTATTTCATCAAAGGGTCGTAAAGGTCTTACTAGAACACATATTAAAGCAACAACTAGTGAATTTGATATGACATTAAAACATGCATTCTCGGAAATTGAAGCATTGTGTGGTTCAATGGATTTAACAAAAGAAATTTCTGATACGATTAAACAGTTATATTAAAGGTCAATTGAGGAGAGATTATCGCGTGAGAAAATTCAATTGGCAATTTTCTCCGCATGCATTTTTATCGCATGTAGGGTTAAAAAAGTTGCGAGATCTTTTAGAATTAAGCAAGCGAACCGATGATTTAAGTTTACTTTCTGGTAGAAATCAAAATACCTTCGCTGCTGTTTGTATTCATTATGCATCTGAAATTTCTCAAGGTCGGGATCCCTATTGATAATATCGCTAAAGTTTCTGGAATGGTTCTTGGTTCTATCAAATCTGTTTACCGTTTTCTTCACGCTAAACGAGAAAGCTTTCAAGATATAATTGATAATAAAGAAAGGGTCATGTCGTAAACTTTAACCTAGTACGACGGATCGAAATTGCCGTAAGTTTAGACGTTATTTTTTTTTAAAAAATAATAATTATCTTTTATATATTCCTATAATCTCATTTTATAAAATAAAAAAACAGGATTTTGGATTGAAAGAAATCCTTTCCCCTAGAAGTTTGCGAAAAATTTCATTCAAAATTATATATTTCATTTTTGCATTTCTATATATTATAGCAATAACTATATTTAGCTAAATTTTTTGTAATAAAAAAGAATAAATTAAATTATAATTGGTTAAATTTCATACGTCACATCGAGTCTCTCACGTGATTATATTCTCACTTTAAACGTTGCAATAATTAAATTTATACGAAACGCTGGTTTCTTCCTTTGTAACAAAATGCTATAATGTCGTTTTTCACAAAGTCCGCGAAAAATCGCTTCGCTCAACCTTATTCAACTACCAAATTTTCATCTCGCAAATTTGTTAATTACCCCATTTTTGTTAAACCCGGCAAGGGAATCTAAATCCAGAAAAACGGGACAAACAGAAATTCGTGGACCATATTATAGTCCGATGGG